AGGGTTGATTTCCCTTCAGAATGGATAGAGGTTTGTTTTCCTTGCAGTCCAGGGAACTCTCAAGAATTAGGCCTACTGTATCAATGGAAATTATGCAACAATTTACCAAAGTCCCACGGATTCCGTGTACTCAATGGATATGGGCTTGCTGGCTCTATCAATGGATTTAGGCCATAATTGTTATAAACTAAGTCTTCCTGGGCAGAGGCAGGATAGTTCTGATCCGACACTAATCTGGCCATTGTGGTCGAGGAAGACAACAGCAGAAGGTCATCTCCATCGGACCTAGGAGGGAATTTCCTAGGATACATCATTCTGGATGTACTACACCGTTCGAGTTGCTGTTGGATGGCAGTGCCTGTTATTTGTCTGCCACTTGGACTGGCTGACCTTGCAGTCCAGGGGACTCTCAAGAATTAGGCCTACTGAATCAGTGGAAATTATACAACACTTTACCAAAGTCCCACGGATTCCGTGTACTCAATGGATATGGGCTTGCTGGCTCTATCAATGGATTTAGGCCATAATTGTTATAAACTAAGTCTTCCTGGGCAGAGGCAGGATAGTTCTGATCCGACACTAATCTGGCCATTGTGGTCGAGGAAGACAACAGCAGAAGGTCATCTCCATCGGACCTAGGAGGGAATTTCCTAGGATACATCATTCTGGATGCACTACTCGATGTTGTCTGTCTCCCCAAACCTGGTTTGGGGAATCTGCACCGTTCCAGTTACTGTTGGATGGTTGTGCCCGTTATTTGTGCGCCACTTGGACCGGATGACCGTCTCCCGCCAACCTAGCGGTTCGAAAGCATGCAAATGCGAGTAGATAAATAGGGACCACTTCTGTGGGAAGGTAACAGCGTTCCGTGTCTAAGTCGCACTGGCCACGTGACCACGGAAGATTGTCTTTGGACAAAACGCCGGCTCTGTGGCTTGGAAACGGGGATGAGCACCGCCCCCTAGAGTCGGACACGACTGGATGAAAATTGTCAAGGGGAACCTTTACCTTTACCTTTGGACCAGCTGAAGTCCAGCAAATCTGCAGCGTCGTGGTTGCCTCCTCCTGCAGAAACAGTGGACCACATTTAGGTTACCTCCTAACCTTAGCAACTGTTTTAGGTAAAGTAAGAGAGAGACACACACTCGCACACACACACAGACACAAAGAGAGAGAGAGAGAGAGATTTCATAAGTACAACGTCTGGATTTCATTGTTCTGTGGAAAAGACAGAGCGGTGCATCATTGTTTGCCAAGCTAATGACTGGGGTTCCACTATTCAGTATTAGAGATGGTCATTTTGGTAGTTCCTGCTGGTTTATTTATTGTCCGGACACTTGTTTGGTGATTCCCGGTTCCACCGCCTGTGGTGGGCGCCCACTCGGAGACAGTGCCGTGACTTTTCTACCCTGCTTCCTGAGAACAGGGTAGAAAATTAGGTAAAGTAAGAGAGACACACACTCACACACACACACACAGACACAAAGAGAGAGAGAGAGAGATTTCATAAGTACAACGTCTGGATTTAATTGTTTTATGGAGAAGACAGAGCGGTGCGTCATTGTTTGCCAAGCTAATGACTGGGGTTCCGCTATTCAGTATTAAAGATGGTCGTTTTGGTAGTTCCTGCTGGTTTATTTATAGTCCAGATGCTTGTTTAGTGATTGCCGGTTCCACCGCCTGTGGTGGGCGCCCACTCAGAGACAGCACTGTGGCTTTTCTACCCTACTTCCTGAGAAGAGGGTAGAAAACGACATCTACGTTGGCTCAGGCACGACGGTCCCTCTCGAATTGGCCTTCTCAGCCACGCTAGACGCTGTTCCAAGTCCTCCATACAGAACACGTGGGCATCGTCTCTCGAGACAGAAGGATGCCTATGCTATACCTTCCTGAGAGTGCTGCTTTCAAGTGGGCCCCTTGCAGAGGAGATGAAGCTTGGAAGCGCCAAACTCCTGTTCAGCTGATAAACGAACCGACGCGGATCACTGAATCCGCAGTTCGCACCCATCCTTATTCAGCTTCTCCAGGAAGGGCAGGACAAGCCCTCTCCGTTATCTTCTTAGGGCAAAGGCCACGACTCAGTGATATTCCGAGGATCGATTCCTTCATTCAGAGCAAATCACCTATTGATGCAGAATCATGATAACTAGAATTTTCTTTTTTAATGGGAGAACAGAGGCTGAGTGGAGGAACTCCTCCTTTCCAACCAAAAAAAGCTCCATGGATGCTTCTCAATGAACTCCGTAAGCAAAGTAATGAGTTTTCCGTTTGCCCAAGAACTGCGTTTCAAAAGCAAGGCTGTTGGAACAGGGCTTCGCCTCGCAGGAATATTCCCGCGTTGCCACCCCAAAATGCCCTGTTGAGCGGTGAACGCTTTGAACGGTCCCGCTGAAATCCAACACTTCCGATGGTTTGCACTGTTTTCTTGGCCCATTTACTGTGTCAGGAGACTGGTAGAAAGAGAGAGCCAGAAAAATCAGAGTTCTTCCTGGCAAACAGAGACTGCTGGCGCCTTATGCTCTCCCATCATTTTAATGATTAGGCAGAGTTGGGAAACAGGTTATTTTATTTTATTTATTTATTTAATTTATATGCCGCCCACTCTACCCAGAGGTTACTGAGCGAATCTTAATTGCCATCATTGTATTATCCTAATTTGACACAGTCAACAGTTGTAGGAACAGGTATGATCAACCACAACAAACAACACGAGGGTTTCCTAGTCATTTAAATAACAAACCGTATTGTAACTTTTTTGTGTGTCTGTTTTTTTAAAAAATACATAATATTATATATGGCAACCTTTAATTCTAGGGCGGCCCATAGAAATCAGTTTCATCCTTGCGTTGTATGAACGATAAAATCTGAATTGATTTCAATGACACTGAAATGTGTTTCTTATTGTCGGTGTGATTGCAGCCTTACTTTCGAGAGCCCTGTTAGGGTCGCTATCAGATATTTCTGAGTTAGTAAAGGTAAAGGTTCCCGTTGACATGTAGTCCAGTCGTGTCCGACTCTAGGGGGCGGTGCTCATCTCCGTTTCCAAGCCATAGAGCCAGCGTTTGTCCGAAGACCATTTCCGTGGTCACGTGGCCAGCACAACTAGACATGGAACACCATGACCTTCCCACCAAGGTCGTACCTATTTATCGACTCGCCTTTTTACATGCTTTCGAACGGCTAGGTTGGCAGGAGCTGGGACGAGCGACAGGAACGCCATCCATCGCCGCAGGAGCTGGGACAAGCGACAGGAACGCCATCCGTCGCCTGGATTCAATCTTACTACGGCTGGTCTTCTGACCTTGCAGCCCAGAGGCTTCTGCAGGAGGACTTGTTGAGAGACAATGACATCCACTACCACTGGCCAGACAAGAGGTCCAAGTTTTTGTTTCCAGCGGTGGCCACTCAGTTGGGCAAGAAGGACGTCTCTCTCTCTGACTTCAACGGCTGTCGTTTTCCCCAGAGGGTGAGGGCTTTCCTCTGTGCTGCAGTCCTCACGGGAGCTAAAGGGAGGAGAGACGTGGATTTTGTTTTCCAACGATATATTGTTTTGAACACTCCTGGTGCAATTCCAAGTCCATAAGACCTGCTAGCATTTCACCTTTGCTGGCATAAGTTAAAATGGCCCCATCTCTTTGGCAAGAAGACAATTAAAAAGGTATCCACTCAGCTTCCTGAATTTTGAGATACTCTTTAGAAGTCCGGCTAGGGACGTGGTGGCGCTGTGGGCTAAACCGCAGAAGCCTATGCTGCAGGGTCAGAAGACCAGCAGTCGTAAGATGGAATCCACGTGACGGAGGGAGCTCCCGTCGCTTGTCCCAGCTCCCGCCAACCTAGCGGTTCGAAAGCATGCAAAAATGCGAGTAGACTAATAGGGACCACCTCGGTGGGAAGGTAACAGCGTTCCGTGTCTAAGTCGCACTGGCCACGTGACCACGGAAGATTGTCTTCGGACAAAACGCTGGCTCTACGGCTTGGAAACGGGGATGAGCACCGCCCCCTAGAGTCGAACACGACTGGACAAAAATTGTCAAGGGGAACCTTTACCTTTACCTTTTACCTTAGAAGTCCGGCTAGGAAAACCCTCTTCAGATGGGCTTGAAGCAATCCAGGGGTGCTTCAGGCCTGGGTGGATGTGCAAATACATTGACAGTCCTTGCATTTTTGGTGAAGGCTTCTTCTGTGCCCCCCTCATCCTCAGATGGGAAGAATATTGTTAAGACTTAGGGCTTAGCCCTCTCTGGATCTGACACTTTGGCCATTGAAACGGAGATGATGCTGGCTTGGCAACTCTAGGCACAACTTACAAGTCCACGCTATTCTTTTTCTGTCATCACTGTTAATTTTTGGCAGCCCATGCCATGCTCCGGCGAGCCTGCCGGAAACCAAGGCATGCTCCGAGACCCAGCCGGCTCTTCAGCGTGTCTGCCCGCCCTGTGCCTCACTTTGGAAGGGTCTTCAGAGCTGCCTCAAGGATACGAGCCTTTCTCTTCTCCTCTAAAGCAGCGGGGCCCGGACATACTTAGACTAAAACGCCCGGAAACAGTCACCACTAGCTGTGCTGGCCAAGATTTCTGATAATAAATTTCTGTGTGGAAGGGAGGGTCCCTCTCAAATTGGCCCTTCTCAGCCACACGCGACGCTGTTCCAATCTGATAATAAATTTCTGTGTGGAAGGGATGGCCCCTCTCAAATTGGCCCTTCTCAGCAACACGAGACGCTGTTCCAAGACCTCCATGCAGAGCAAGTGGCCGTCGTCTCTCGAGACGGAAGGATGGCGACTAGCCCAAAGGCATTTTGAACCTGTCAATAAAGGAGTAGAAAACAAAATAAATAAATAAATACATGCGTGTGGAAGCCATACAGAGCAAGAAGAAAGAGAACGCAGCAACTCACAGGTTTCTAACCTGGCTGAAGTTGGGTGCATTTCTTATCACTCCTATCTGGTAACTTGGTTATTCTATGAACTGCAGAACTCAATGTGATTTGACTCATCTACAATGTCACCCCCTCCCACCTTTCTTTCAGTGGCAGGTCTTGGCGTCAAGATCAAAGAAGAGGGTCAAAAAGTCATTTACCTGCCCAAAGGGGAGTCAGTGAAGCTGGGGTGCCCCTTCACCTCCGACCCAGAAGACAACACGCCTGACAATAACTGGGATATTCAGTGGAAGCAGGTGAAGCCCGGACTCCTTCCCCAGGACAGCCCGGTGAGTTGTTCAGTTGCTAGCACCCCCATTTCTTTTCTCTTTTTTTACATATTAGAAAGATGGGGGGACCAAGGATGTGCCAGGACAGATGTCTCTCCTGCTCTGTGACCCAACGGGTTCGTGCAGAAGCAAGTCAATTGAATGGAGCTTTCTTCAAATATGAAATTTCCCTTAACAGCTCTTCTTGGAAAGGATTTGGTGGGGACACAGGAGAGGAGGGCTTTCTCTGTGGCTGCCCCCAGACTTTGGAACTCCCCCCCACTAGAGGCCAGGCTGGCCCCATCTTTGCTGTCTTTGCCTAGTGACTTAACTGGCTAGGATGGAGTGGTTTATATTACCGTATTTTCCATGTATAAGACCCCCCATGTATGAGACGCCCCCCACTTTTGTAATCCAAAATTAAGAAATCTTAAGTGGGGCTTAGCAAGTGTAGGAGGAAAGCAATCAATGTGCTGCAGGATCGCGTTGATCCCTGCTTTTCCTTCCACTTGTGTTTGTTCTCTCCTCAGCTTACTTCCGTGTATAAGACAACCCTCCATTTTTAGTCTAAAGATTTTAGACAAAAGTATAGTCTTATACATGGAAAAATATGGAAGGTGGCAACACCATGCTGACAAGTGGAGGGGAAAGCAGGGATCAAAGCGATCCTGCAGCGCTTTGATCCCTTTCCCCTTCACTTGCTAAGCCCCACTTAGATTTCTTAATTTTGGGTTAGAAAAGGGGGCGTCTTATACACAGAAAAATACGGTAAGTAGTAGAAGTTGACTAGATGAAGAACAAGAAGATTCTCTGGCGTCTTTTTGTGGCTGTAGGTGGAGGCAATTTTAGCAGGTGTGCCCTGCATTGAAAGAGGCAGCTGCTGGATTTTTCCTCTGTTAAAAAGATAATAATCCTGTTATCTTTTCCTTCTGGTCACCCTTGAGTAACACCCTGCCTTGAAAAGCATTTTGCTCATTCCAAAGAGGGAAAAGTATTTCATCAGAGTGTTTTCCTTGGATAACTAAAATTTCTAATTTTTCCCCCCACTGGAAAAAAAAATGGGCCAAGGAAAGAAACAATTAAGCAGAACAGTACTTTTTAAATATTTCGTAGGTTGCTGAAATTGGATTTTTAAAAAAAAAATTATTGAGGTTTCACATTTCTTTTGTTTCCTCCTAAGCTCCTTGGTTACCATGATCACCAGATCATCTATCCTGGATCCCCAGATCTCCAGAAGCGGGTGGGGTTCACATCAGCAGATCCCAGTCGGTACGACGCCTCCATGCAGTTACGTGATGTACAGATCACTGATACGGCCACATATGAATGCATAGTGAAGAAAACGACAGAAGCAACTCATAAGGTGACCATCACTGTTCAAGGTGAGTCTCTTATCCTTTACACTCAGGATGGAGGGCGAGGTGGAACAGGTCGCTTAAAGATGACTCAGAGCCGAGTCTCGAGAAATTCTTTTTTTGAATTCCAACTTCCAGAATCTCCCAGCTAGGATTCTCAGAGATTTTATCCAAAACAAAAACTTTTCAAGCATTATCATTTTGCATACCTATTCGTAAGTGTAACAAACCAGCAGAGGTATTGAAGCGAAACATTCTTTAGCTGCTCTGGTCAATGTAAAATTTTGTATATTTATAAAAGTCCCTAAAATCTGTGTAAATCAGTCAAGGTCTGATGCTTGAACACCTTCCTAAGATCCTTATAGGTCTTTACCAGACCTCTAGGAAAAATCAGAAGCCTGCTCTTCTCACACGGCGTCTCGATCCCTGAAATGGGAAATCTATTAGTTTTTGAAATGTCATGAAACTCTTTCAGCAGGTGGTATATTGCAAAAGAGAAAAGGGAACAACTGTTTCTAAAAAGAAAAATAAAGTGTTCCGGGTGCGATGCTGTGTATTGCCCCTCAGAGCCCCCCACCCTGTAATTTTATCTAAAAAATAAATTTCATCTAAAAGATAAATGGTGCTGAAGATGCTCTTTGCTATGTTAATGTAATTTTCATGACTCTCTCCGGGAGGCGAAAGGGTTTGAATGTAAATAAAACTTCTAATTAATTAGATTTGGAGTGGTGTACTCCATTGGCTAGGGACGTGGTGGCGCTGTGGGTTAAACCGCAGAAGCCTCTGGGCTGCAAGGTCGGAAGACCAGCCATCGCAAGATTGAATCCACGCGCTGGAGGGAGCTTCCGGCGCTTGTCCCAGCCCCTGCCAACCTAGCAGTTCGAAAGCATGTAAAAATGCGAGTCGATAAATAGGCACCAACTCGGTGGGAAGGTCACGGCTTTAGAACCCCTAAAATTGAACAGGTTTTTCCTGGGTTTATGTATTTGGGGTCAACTAAATCAGCATGCCTTGATGTAATTCTTTACTCCCTCTAGTAGCCTGCTCTGGTAGCTTCATACTATGCTATCAATTTCTAGGATTTAATATTTTTAGACAGTGGATAACTGAATCAGTGGATACTGATCCTGCGGATAAGGGGGTTCCATTGCATTGAGGTTTCCAAGCTCGGATAACCCACGTTCTATCTCTCTCCGGTCAGAGCGGCCAGCGGTCCCCCAGTGCTGGATCATAGGGGACGTTGCCTACGGAGAGGATGTCACCCTACGCTGCTTCGCTTCGGCAGGATCCCCTCCTCTCAACTACCGTTGGGCCATGACTCAGGGAGAGCAATTCAGGGACTGGATTCCCCCTGGAGGATCGCTGGGTGAGTGGGAAGCGGGAAGAGGTTGTTTCTTTGCTCAGAGTAAAGATAATGTCTGTCAAGATTCAGGGTAACCATGTCGGAAGAAATGCAGATGTAAACTTACAGAAATTCTGACCGACACGTGATAAGTCATGTCGTTTGATGTAGCCATGGGAGCAACGAAAATGCAAGAGGGATACGTTGTGTGTTTGTCCCCGTGCATCTAGTCCTCATGATATTCTGCTTCTATTAAACACAATATCCTGATTTAGAAATATTCTACCATGAAGATGCTTGGAGGCCATCAAAGGCACAGATATCCGTTGGTTTCCTCTATTGCTTTCCCAACGCAATCCAGATACATTTGGCTAACTGCTGTTGATAACAGAAAGCTAGGGCTCAATACAAGCTTAAGCTTAAAGACCTGACGTACAGTAGGACCCCCATCTCTGTGGGAGATTGGTTCCAAGTGCCTGCCCCGTGAATGCTGGAAACCGTGGATAAGCACCGCCATGGATGCTGAAACCCAGATGTATTACCAGAAGTGGCCATAGAGGGAGCCAGAGACCATGTTATGTATTTAAAAAAAACAATGCATAGCATGGTCTCTGGCTCCCTCTAGTGACCAGTGAATATATCATGAAAATATATATTTTTAAAAGTTTTTTTTCCTTTTAATATTTTCAGATAAGTGAAACCGCAGATACTGAACCTGCAGATACAGGGGTCCTACTACATTCTTGGCTTGTCTGCAGGGTTTTGGAAAAGTGCTCAAGTTGGTGATTAACTGTATTTAAAATGCCTGTTAACTGAGGCAGGTTCACACTCCCACAGAGGCACTAGAAGGGGCTAAACGAGTTCTGAGTATTTTATACCTAGAAAGCCCACGTTTTATCAGCGCATCAGCACCTAAATTGATCATGAATGCTAATCGTTTCTGCTTTAGATTGTTTAAAAATTTAAAAAGTACTTTTTAAAATGGTATAAAATAGGCTGATTTCATTTGCCAAATCGTCATTATTTAAAGCCCATTGGAAAAGAACATTTTCATCTGTATTTTTTTTAAATGCACAATCGGTTTTTAATAATTATCAGTAGCGTGTGGCAGACTAGGATTCGGGAGAGGTGGATTCGAATCCCCAGTTAGCCATGGGATCTCACCGGAGTAGTGGAACCCGTAAAACCACTCCTTAAGTACAGTGGTGCCTCGCTAGACAGTTAGCCACATGACAGTTTTTTTTGCTAGACATTGACTTTTTGCAATCGCTATAGCGATTCGCAAAACAGCGATTCCTATGGGGGAATTTCGCTGGACAATGTTTGGTCCCTGCTTCGCAAACTGATTTTTGCTAGATGACGATTTTGACAGCTCCCTCTGTGCTCGCAAAACAGGTGTTTTCGGGACCTAAGCTTCGCAAGACAGCGATTTAAACAGCTGATCGGCAGTTTGCAAAGCGGCTTTCCTATGGCCGATCTTCGCTAGACGACAATTCTTTCCCATTGGAATGCATTAAACAGGTTTCAATGCATTCCAATGGGGAAATGCTTTTCGCTAGACGATGATTTCGCTAAACAGCGATTTCAGTGGAATGGATTATCATCGTCTAGCGAGGCACCACTGTAAATGATCGTGTTTAGAACAGGGGTCCTCCCAACCTTGGGCTTCCAGATGTGTTTGGACTTCAACCCCCAGAAATCCTGGCCAGCAGAGGTGGTGGTGAAGGCTTCTGGGAGTTGTAGTCCAAGAACATCTGGAAGCCCAAGGTTGGGGATCATTGGCTTAGAGAAGCATGATGTCCATTAGGTTTGTGTTGTTTTTAAGAAACTGGACATTTTCTGAAGATCTCTATTCAAAGTCCAGTAGCTAATATTTCAAAAGCATCTAAACCTTGCCATCAGCAGTTCTTCCATTTCTGTCCAACAGGCTCCGTCCCGGGAGATCTTCACATCTATAACTTGGGGGACGAGCATGTCGGTACCTACCAATGCAGTGTGGGCAACAATGTGGGCGTAGCTTACTGCTCTGTGGACATTTCACTTGATAACGGTAAGATGCCTGGATGTTAAAAATCATCACGAGAGGCCTTTCTCTTATCCCACCACCTTCACAAGTGCGTTTGGTGGGGACACCGGAGAGGGCCTTCTCTGTGGCTGCTCCTGGACTGTGGAACTCCCTCCCACTGGAGGCCAACCTGGCCCCATCTTTGCTGTCCTTCCGAGAGGCAGGCAAAGACCTTTCTCTTAGCGACTGGCTATCTAGGAGGGGTTCTTCAAACGGATCGTCATGCCTTGTTGCTTTCAAATGTGTTTTCAGTATTGCTTTGATTTCCCGTCTTTAATATAATATTGTTTAATTCTTTCTAGCGTCCCTTTTTAGTTTTTAAACATTTTTTAAAATTATGCCAGCCACCTTGGGTCCTTTTTTTTAAGGAGAAGGCGGCGTGGATGTCTTTTAAATAAGTAAATAAATGCATTGCAGGACATCGCTGGAACGCACCAGTGACAGACACGATTCGGCTGTAATTATTTTATTCCTTCTTCCCATAATGATGGGGCAACCAATATATACTGCCATTGTACTATTATGCAAAGTAACTATAATTTTTTAAATGACTTTAATAGACATTGGGAGGGGGTTGACTTTAATAAGCACGGGGGTCTTATTAAGCTCAAGGAAGCCAGATTTAGGCTGAATATCAGGGGGAAAAAACTCTTTAACTGTTAGAGTAGTGCCACAGATCTCGGAAGGTGGTGAGCGCTCCAATACTGCAGGTGTTTAAGAGGATGTTAGATAATGTAATTTAGACGTATCGTTCTCTCCCTCTCTTTCTAGCCTAGACTGTGTGGTCTTTATGAGGATGAAAAAGCAGAGACAGCCATATGAGTTGTTTGTTTCAGAAGGAAGTTGTCTAACGAGGGAGTATTTTCTAAAATTCCCTTTTCCTTTTCTGCCACTTCTCAGGCGTCTACCGAGGCTGGATCGTTGGAGGGTCCGTCCTCACCGGCCTTCTCGTCTTGGCCCTACTTATCGCCGGTATGGTCTGGTGGTGGTGCTGCCGAGCCGGATGGTGCCCCAGCTGCTACTGCGGAGAAGATTATTGCTGGGATTGTATTTGCCGCTGTTGCATCCGCCCAACGAAGCAGGAGTGCATGCAGACCAAGGCCAATGAGATCTGGTGAGAATCGCTGCCCGAATTCAGAACCTGGGACTAACATGTTACCAAAAAATTACACTGGAAAATATTCCATATACATGCCAGTGCCAACGATTCTGTGAGTGTTGGGACATGGCATTAATTTCTCATGCAAGCACAGACTTTAATCATATGTGGACTGAGAAATGCCACATGTTCAGAATAGATTCCGAAAAAGGAGGAGATACTAGGAGTTCTATTGCAAATATAAATTGGTTACTAGGAGTTGTAGTCCAAGAACATCTGGAGGCCCAAGGTTGGGGACCACTGATATAAAGGATGCAGACGAGAGAAGGAGATAAAACAGTTTGATTTATATGGGGAACATATAATACAGAAAATTGGGCTTGATTCATTTGAAGGAGGAATGAAAATTGGTGGAAGAATGCTTAATGATTATGTGCAGGAGAAAATTGGAAGAACTTGAAATGATTACTAATGAAGGTTAAAGAAGAAGACATAAAAGCAGGATTACAGTTGAACAAATATGACAACACAGACGAATGATACAACCTTGATATTTCTGAAAATGAAATTTAATTTGTTAAAGATTTTCTGTAGTTTGGTTTGATAATCAAACCAAATGGAGACTGCAGCCAAGAAGAGGACTTAGATTTGGAAAGGCAGCTATTGCAAAGGACGTGTCACTGGAAACTGAGGTCATCCACGTTATAGTATTCGAAATTGCAGTATACGGATATGGAAGCCAAAGAGTGAAGAAAACTGGCCGGACGCCAATCAAATGGTCTGAAAAATATGGTGTTAGATAAAACCTGATACTATGGATACCAAGACGAATGGTTTCTGGATCAAATCAAGATCTAAATCTCACCAGACGCTAAAACGATTAGGCATATAATGAGAAGAGTCACTAGAAAAGACAATAATGCTGGGGAAAAAATGGATGGTAGTAAAAACAAAAACCCAGGATGATTGAACATGAGATGGAGTGGCTTGTAACAGATGGTTTGTAACAGGACTGACTCAGTAAAAAAGAGCCTTTAATAACAGGGCCTTTTGAAGCCCTTAATTCCTAGGTTTGCCAAATATGCTCGAAGCGACTTGGAGCCACTCAACCAAAAACAGGAAGAGTAGGAATCTCGCTCCCAAACCAGGAACGCGACAGCTGTATGCCTGAAATATTCCACATTGGCTCCGGCCATGGCCAGCAATAAAGGATCAGCAATATTTTTTTTCAACCTTTCTTCTACAAATATTGCAAGGAGTTACATTTTAAATGAGTAAATGGCCAGAGATTCGCCTTTAAAAGGTGCAAAGACCCCTTGATTTAAACACCTACGGTACTTTTCATGTCTCCTGAACAGAAGAGAAAGGGAGTTCCTGAATTAAAAATGGAATGTCCGAGACACACAGTTTTCTGAGTTGGAGTCACACAACACAGGCTGAACGTAATTAATCCCATTTACTGGGCTCCTTAATTGTTTTACACTGCAGTTCTTATCGTGTTCAGCCCGTCAGCAGTGATGGAAATTAAAATTCCTGGTTTGCAGGAAAGAGCAGCTGAAAGCTCATACATACAATGCAATAGCCGCCGAGCTCCACCCTAAAACGTCGTGTTTAAATGCTGGTTGCCTCGGAGTCTTAGAAAAGGGTGCAGAACATGAGCAGTGTCTAAATGCACAAGGTTAATGTCAGAAAAGTGCAGGATGCTTCCTGCGCTCTATAGAAGCGCAGTTCCTGAGCGCATTAAGAAAGCTCGTCTTCCAAATAACATGACAACAGCAGCAGGATAATTCTACAAGAATTTCTTCTTTGCAAAGAATAAGGGGCATAAACTGATTTGTAGGGCTATTATTTTCATGGTTTTAAATGAAAATGCAAGGATTACTAATCAACTTGGTGGGTGACGCCATATTGGGTGAAATAGCTAATATACCTTGGAAGACAGGAACACAATTCGAAAATATCTTCGTAGGCTTGAGCGCGGGGCTGAAAACCACAGGACTAAATTTAACAGACAGAAATGCAAAGTTCTACCCTCGGGAGGAAAATCAAACACACAGTTATGAGATGGCAGGAATATTTGGCTCCGTAATACGACAAGTGAGAAGGATCTTGGAATTATGGTAGATCAAAAGCTGAATATGAGCCAACGACGTTATGCGGCTGCAAAAAAGGCAAATGCTACTTTAGGATGTGTTAACAGAAATATAGTCTCCGAATCCTGCAATGTCGTAGTCTCTTTCTATTCAGCACTGGTGAGGTTTTCTCTAGAGTACTGGTTCTAGATGAACGATACCACACATGAAGAAGGTTGTCAACAAGTTGGAACACGATCCGAGGAGGGCAACAGAGATGACCAGGAGGAGACTGGAAACCAAGCCCAAGGTTAAAAATTGGGCCACCCTTTGTCAGATCCGCTTTGATTTGGAGCCCTGCCTTGAGCAGTGGGTTGGACTCCATGGCCTTACAGATCCCTTCCAATTCAATTATTCCATAATTCTATGCTTCTATTAAATGGTATATAAGAATATTTCTAACATGTCTAGGAACCATACAGGTATCTGGTTTACTACCGGTGAGGAACAATAAATCAGTGCCCCTGATTACAATCTGACAATAGCCCCCACAAAATCTGGAATCTGCAACAAAATGTTGCAGTGTTCTTTCCTAGTTCTAGTTGTCCCCTTACCAGGTGGGTCCTGGAGCCAGCAGCAAGAGGCTGGAGAGAAGAGTGGGGTGTGTTTCAGTCCACCTGTCCTAAGCCCCCCTAAGTTAATTTGTTATCTTTCCGGTGCCCCATCGTGGCCATGGTACTGTCGTTGCTGGCTAGAAGAGGTGATGAAGAAGGAAAGGAGGAAGACACTCCGTGGATTGTGGCAGAGAAAAATAAAATCGTTAACTAATTAGGGAGGAGGTCATAAAAAGAAGGAGAAAAACATCCTGCGTTGGTTAGCCGTAAACAGATTTCTACCAGGAAAAGCAGGAATTATGTGATTAATTATCATCAGGAGCCTGGAGCATAGGCTATACATCCCAAAATCTGCTGTAATGTTTTGTCCTCCTCCCTTTCTTACAAGCAATTACAAGTTCCAAAGAGGAAACCATTAAGAGGTTCATCTGGAGCGTGCGGAGAGAGTAACAGGCAGGCTTTGGATATTTTTTTCATGTGCCGTCAGCCTTTGCAAATTCGCCGGTGGTGCAGGGAAGACGGACCGGGGCCGATCCTTAGACCAGCGCTGTCCACTCCCCAAAGCAAGCGACGCTCATGGAAGACAACGGAGGCAAACAGAAGCATTGAATCTGTGAATGCGCAGAACTCTTACTCTTGGATGATTTTAAAGGGGAGTTAGAAAAAAAAATAACCCACAACGATGGTTTGGATTGGCATAACTCAGACTTCGATTCATTGCCATCACGTCCGAGAACTAGGCATATATTTCTGTGTGCAACTGTGGATTATGTAGTGACAGCGAGCGAGGTAGCATTTGTGTGCACTTAGAAATCTATCACATCATGGGTGAATGTCCTACTGAGCTTTATACCTTGACATACTAGATTTCTGTAAGCAGGGATATCTGCATCCACTTCTTTTGCATGGAGAAACCTTTCATCATTGAACGATTTAAGTCATATTATTAGATCTAAATTTAATCATGCTAGGTAGACCTGCTAAAACTAATAGGACATAATGGCAAAATTCTGCAGGTTCTATTGATTTCGTCTCCGTCACCTTCGCACGTGCCAGATTTCTATAGACCATTCCATTCTTCTCCCCACCCTTTTCATTAAGAAATATTTAATGATATAGTCATATTAATTAGATCCAGACTTAGCCATCCTTACATCTTTTCTATGTTAAGTACAGCAGAACCCTGTATCCATGGGAGATCCGTTCCAAGCCCCCCATGAATGCTCAAAAACATGGATTAACGCAATTTTAACAACAAATACTATGCACAGTGTGGTCTCTGGTACCCTCTAGTGGCCCGTTCTGGTGACTATCAGAAATATACATGTTTTGGAGATTTGTTTTTTAAAATTTTTAATATTTTGAGACTGTGGATAAGTGAATCAGCGGATACCGATCCTGCGGATAAGGGGGTCCTACTGTATGTTTGCCGTTCAGTTAAACTCATACTTATCCTGTAATGAGTGGGGGCTCTTGTTGGTTGTTGATTTTAGCAAATCCATTCAATGAGATGTTTCCACGAAAAAAAAATTAATCTGATGATGGTATTTCTCTGCCCCGACGCCCCCCTTTTTTTAACAGCCTAGACGCCGATGCTCCCCCAAGCCGGCCGTGCAGTCAAGCCTTCAGTCAAGACAGCAGCCTCCGCTCCTTGCTCGGCCACCGGCTGAGAAGCACTCACTACCCGCAAGGCTGCAAGTATATACCCCCCGTTGCTCAAGTCAAGATGACATCATCCCCCCCGGACAGCGACACGAGCCTTGTTCTGGCCCCAGACCTCCTGTCTCCCCATAGTTCAGAGCAAAGTGACACCTTCGACCCGTACTACCACCCAAAGCGAAGGGATCCGTACTCTCTGCCCGGCTGCTCTCGCCCGTATGTCAAAGGCGAGAGCCACCACGACTCCGTTTCCCAGTCTCACATCTACTCGGACCCCCAAAACGTCAGCGTGCCCTCAACAGACCCGAGCGGGGTCCACTGGAACGACGGCGCCGCCAAACAGTACAAGGGCAAAGTGGTGATGATGCAGTCGTCAAGCAAAGAAGGGCTTCTGATATGAGCCCGGAGCGTGACACTGACGTCTTAGGCCAAGGGTTACCCATTGGGCCGACCCGAAACTCTCTGATTTTTTCAGAAGGCGGAAACAAACCTATCACTTTGTCTCTAATAATTAGAATTATTTTCTTTCCTCTCCGCCCCAGAAAGGAAGACATTCTCTGAATGTCATAAATTCTTAACAAAATTAGGGGTTGGACCAAATTCTCCCCACGATGGCCGAGTGCCGTCGGTCCAAGCCAGCTTGGACGAGGACGAAATCATCGGGGTGGGGTGAGGGGAGGCAAATCCCAATTTGGCTATCTGCACCGACTTACCTTGGGCCAGTCAGCATCCCCCGGATGGACCTACCTTCTGGGAGTGTCGTGAACGTGTACGCCGTCTCCAATTCCCTGGAAGAAAAGTGGGGTATAAATGGAAATATTTTTGTAAAAAAAATCAGTAAACGGCTATGGGACACAGTAACAAATGGGTAGGCGCACTGCGTACCTCATCGCTCATCTCATATCTGCTTGCAAACTTCCAGATAAGGATTCTCAGCGCTCCTAATTCGAAAACTTTTCGCTCATCTCATATCTGCTTGCAAACTTCCAATTCGAAAACTTTTTTTGTCCACGGAGCGCTTTGCTCCTTGAAAGGAGCCATAGAAATGTGTAAAAACATCAAGATTTAGCTTCTTATCTTAATTTTTTGTGTGTGTGGAAAAAAAATAAAGTCACTGTTTTGGAAACCAGCAGACATGACAAACACAGCTTGGAAGGAGCTAGCGGCAAATCAGCCACCTGTAATTAAAGGCATAAATTGCAATAAAGGCATAACTAAGGGTGTGGCTACACTGTGGATATGAATCAGGAGCTGGATCGGGGATCTGAAGTCAGTTTAAAGTCATGCGGGTTTTGTGTCAATGTGTGCACTGTCTTGGGGTAATGTTTTAATCAGGTTGTGAGCTGTGCTTGTGTATCAGTAAAGGGGGCAACATAGGCTTTAAAATCATTGTTTTTTCCAAGTGAATTTGCACCTTGGCGCTCCAGCTTCCAGTTTTTCCAGGTCTCTCGTCAGGCCAAAAAGTCCTTTTCTTCTGCTGTGGCATTTTTTTCTCCTTTCATAGATAATTGTTTACTGCTATTATAAATAATAATTTTGTCATACTTATCTTTAATATTTGGGGTTGTTGTGTCTTTAAATGTATTTCAAAGTGGTATAACGCTAGGTTGGTGTTACAGATAGAAACAGTATATATAACAGTTCAGACTGCAGGGTACCCTACAGCCCCAAACCTGTGATCCTTTCATCCAATACAGTGGTGTCTAGCTTGACGATGATAATTCGTTCCGTTCAAATCGCTGTTAAGCGAAATCCTCGTCAAGCGAAACAAAAAAGCCCATTGAAATGCATTGAAAACCGGTTCAATGCGTTACAATGGGCTAAATACCTCATTGTAAAGCAAAGATCCTCCATAGGGCGGTCATTTTCCGGTGCCTGTATAGTGAAGAATCCATCCTAAAGCACAGCGGGAAGCCATGTTGCACAGCAGGCGGCCATTTTAGAGCCGCCGATCAGCTGTTTTAAAATCGTTGTCTAGCGAAAAATCGGTTCCCGAAGCAAGGAACCGATCATCGTGAAGCGAATTTTTTCCTATTAGAACATCGTTTTGCGATTGCAAAAGCAATTGCAAAAACCTCATCTTCAAGCGGTTTTGTCGTTTAACGAGGTAATCATTAAGCGAGGCACCACTGTACTTGACAAATCCCATAGACACAATTTACTTTGACACAAGTCAGCACACATGCCAAAACTATTTTAAAAATTATGACTGGAATTGATTTAAAATCAACAACTCCCTTGTGAGTATTTATTGTTTTCTGACCAGAAAAATGGATGCTTAACTGTATATTGTGTAGGCAAATATTTTTAAATTGATTTCAGGAATGCTAAACCCAATACAAAAACAGGAATATTATGATGTGTAGCCAAGCCCTAAGTCTTCATGGGCACAATTTTGTTGCTCTTGCAGTGTTGCTCTTTTATAGTTTGTTTTATACTTTCACCAGAAAGGTTGGTCCAGCAGTTTTTACCGTCCCAAAATAACTTCTGCTATGTTGCCCTATAACTCTCACCCTCCTTTGGAAGCAATAGGTTAAGAAAGTCTGCCATGTTATACCCATTTTGGAGAGTACACGTATTCTTTTACAAGATACAGGCGTACCTCGGTTTACGAATTTAATGCATTATGCGGGATGTTACGTAATGCAAAAAAAATCATAAAGTGAAACACAAATTGGCATAAGAACGGGGGCAGTGCTATAAACCTCGAGGCACAATGCATCCTGGGGAAACTTCCTTTGTACTGTGGGGAAAAAAAACATAAACCGAGGCATTATTTTCAATGGATTTCCGTTTGTAAACTGAAAATTACATTAACTGAGGCATTCGTAAACCGAGGTACCACTGTAGATCACACATGTAGCCATTACTGTTTTTAAGTAGATGTACGTGATAATCATTTTCCCATTTTTACAACCTTCTGAGAGTGAATGGGTGTGTGTTTTAGAAGAGATTGTCAGTCCACAAAAATAGAATTTTTTAAAATAACTTCGGTATTACATCGCTATCCATGTCTATGGGCCTGTCCACACTAACATATAGATATAACATATGGATCACAGATAGCATGATTTGGATCAGAGAAAAAGACCTAGTCTGTAGGTGTTTCTACTTAGAAAGATCCATCCTTCCTCTTTAAGAGCTGTCCCTCACCTTTCTGACACAGGACGAGGGCATGCATTCTCTTTTTTTGGCAAGATTTAGAGCCTAGCAACCTCAGGGGAACAGCAGGGGCACACAGGCCCAGGGCAGGTGACAGATGAAGAAGACCAGCCAGCTTCCCATAAGGTTTGAGGCTCTAACATGGTCCGAAGGATCACTCAAGAGAGTGACAAAATAGATTGCACTGCAGGTAAGAACCTTTCAAGCATGGGCAGGATTGCACCAAATTTCACAGTGTGGACAGGATCTATGGTTTTTGTTTTAAATGTGTATCTTTTTAGTTCCTTTAATAACGGTTCTTTTTTCCTGAGAAGTCGAAGAGGTAACCATGTTAATCTGTGTTAACATATCAGGCCAAAACAAAAAGAAAAAAAATTTAATACAAAAACGGTGTGGCATCTTCTTCAGCCCACTTCCTCAGACATAAGAATCCGCAAAAGCTCACGTGAAATATAGCAGTTTGTCTTTAAGGTGCCACGAGAGTTTTGTCTTCTTCCGTGTTAGTCGGTGTTAACATATCAGGCCAAAACAAAAGAAAAAAAATTAATACAAAAATGGTGTGGCACCTTCTTCAGCCCACTTCCTCCGACATAAGAATCCGCAAAAGCTCACGTGAATATAGCAGTTTGTCTTTAAGGTGCCACAGCAGTTTTGTCTTCTTTATTGTTTATTTTGTTTGTTTTTTGTTTGTTTCAACCTGATATTGTTCGTGAGATAGCCGCTTGAAGAAGGGCTGCGTACTCTGAAATGTGTTCAGGCGGTTGAATATTTTTCTTTCAGAAAAATGATGTGCTTTCAATCATCCATAAAGCATTTAAGTTCATTCCAGCTGTGTGATTCTTCTTGTAAACCCGCCAAGATGATGAAATGAAACGGTTGTCAGTTTTTTCTTTCTGACACATTCAAATGTTTAAAATCCCAAGTTCGTGCCACCCTCTGAAGAAATTTGGGGATTTTTGTGATTTCTTCCCAGAGAAATTGAATGAAATTGTGAGAACATGAGGGGGGAAAAACACCCCAGGTGGCTGGTTCATCAGCATCTACACACATACTCTTAGATATGTGAGCTTGGCAAACTTATTTTTCTGAATTACAGTTCCCAGAATCCCCTAGCCAATATGCTGGAACGTCTGGGTGTTATACTCCCAAACAATGATGGTCAATCTCGCACTCGTCCTCTGATGGATGGCCGTACATCCGAGGAAGACAACTCGGGTTCCAAAGAACATACATCATTGTTTATTTACGATAACTATCTCCAACGTCACGGCAAACTGAATTTTCTCCAAAATGGTCACTGAATATTGTTGGATTATAATAATGGAACGTCTGGGTGTTATACTCCCAAACAATGATGGTCAATCTCGCACTCGTCCTCTGATGGATGGCCGTACATCCGAGGAAGACAACTCGGGTTCCAAAGAACATACATCATTGTTTATTTACGATAACTATCTCCAACGTCACGGCAAACTGAATGTTCTCCAAAAATGGTCACCAAATATTGTTGGATTATAATAATCACAATACTCCACAGATGATCTGGCCAACAGGAAGTGATTATGAGAATTCTAACCCGATTTGGGGGGCAAACAGCTAAATAATGGTGGTGGGTATGAGCCACAGGTGAGCCCTAGCATTGTGTTGTTGTTTAGTCGTTAAGTCATGTCTGACTCTTTGTGACCCCATGGACCAGAGCACGCCAGGCCTTCCTGTCTTCCACGGCCTCCCGGAGTTGGGTAAAATTTATGTTGGTCGCTTCGATGACCCTGTCCATCCATCTGGTCCTCCATCGTCCCCTTCACCTCTTGCTTTCACACTTTCCCAACATCAGGGTCTTTTCCAGGCAGTCTTCTCTTCTCATCAGATGGCCAAAGTATTGGAGCCTCAGCTTCAGGATCTGTCCTTCCAAGGAGCACTCAGGGCTGATTTCCTTCAGAATGGATAGGTTTGTTCTCTTTGCAGTCCTAGCGTTGTACCTTCCCTAAACCCAACTCCTCATACACTGCAACCTAGAAGAGTAGTTTGGAAATGTTCAGTCCTATTTTTGCTTAGTGTTGGTTTGTTGTGACATCTGGACCAAAAAGCATGGAAAAGTTCTAAGCCCTCCTGCGGATGCTAAAAAAACCCTTAAGACAGTCCCCGTGTCCTCAGATCTTATCATTCATCCATCCATCCATCCATCCATCCATCCATCCATCCATCCATCCATCCATCCATCCATCCATCCATCCATCC